ACCACCCCCGCCGCCGCCGCCCTCGCCGCTAACGCCCTCGCCGCCGCCGTCCTCGCCGCCGCCACCATCACCGCCCTCGCCACCGCCGCCCTCGCCGCCATCGCCCTCGCCGCCGTCGCCCTCGCCGCCGCCCTCGCCGCCGACACCGCCCTCGCCACCGCCCTCGCCGACACCACCCTCGCCACCACCCTCGCCACCACCCTCGCCACCACCCTCGCCACCGCCCTCGCCGCCGCCCTCGCCGCCGCCGCCCTCGCTGCCAACGCCATCACCACCCTCGCCGCCGCCACGCTCGCCGCCGCCGCCCTCGCCGCCGCCGCCCTCGCCGCCGCCGCCCTCACCGCCGCCGCCATCACCAACACCACCCTCGCCGCCGCCGCCCTCACCGCCGCCGCCCTCGCTGCCGCCGCCATCACCACCCTCGCCGCCGCCGCCCTCACCGCCGCCGCCCTCGCCGCCGCCACCACCACCACCCCCGCCGCCGCCGCCCTCGCCGCCGCCGCCCTCACCGCCGCCGCCCTCGCTGCCGCCGCCATCACCACCCTCGCCGCCGCCGCCCTTACCGCCGCCGCCCTCGCCGCCGCCACCACCACCACCCCCGCCGCCGCCGCCCTCGCCGCCGCCGCCCTCGCCGCCGCCGCCCTCACCGCCGCCGCCATCACCACCCTCGCCGCCGCCGCATTCGCCGCCACCGCCCTCGCCGCCGCCGCCCCCGCCGCCGCTGACGCCGCCGTCGCCGCCACCGCCACCACCATCGTCGCCGCCGCCGCCGTCGACGTCGCCACCGCCGCCGCCGCCGCCGTCGCCGCCGCCACCGTCGCCGCCAACGCCGTCGCCGCCGCCGCCGTCGCCGCCGCCGCCATCACCACCGCCGCCGCCGCCGTCGCCGCCAGCATCGCCGTCGCCGCCGTCGCCGCCGGCGCCGTCATCGCCGCCCCCCCCCCCACCGTCTTCGCACGTCGCCTTCGAACGACGAAGTCATCGTTGTCGTTGACGACGCTGCCGTCGAACG